GCGGACTTCACCGGTGCCCCCCGTCCCAGCGGCGCTGCCGGCATGGAGCTGTGAGCGTCGGGGCCGGTGTGTGTGGGTGGGAAGGGGTGCCCGGCTGCGGGCGCCTCGGCAAGCCTCTCCCCGGCACGGCGAGCTGGCAGCTCTGAAATTACAGCTCTGCGTGCCCTGCTCGCGTGGCAGGGACCCGCTCTGCTGCCCTCCTGCCGTGTCCCCTCCCAAGGCCATGTTTGAGTCCCTTCTTGCTTGGTGGCCTCAGGCAGGCGCCTCGCCCCCGTGCATGGCCGGCCGTGTCGGAGCAGGGGCTCCCTCCCCAGCACTGGGGCTTTGGTTGCCGAATCAAGCACCCGAGGTGCTGGAGGGTGCCCAGGCAGGGGGGGGGGGGGGGGGCAAGAGTCCTGGTTTCACCAAAGATGTTGGGTCCGGAAGGGAAAAGCCTGAGGCTACCTGATGGCCTGTTTTGAGAATTTACCTGTGGGTTGGTCCCAGACCCTGGAGCGTGTCCGTGTCCTAATAAACAGTATTTCTTTAAGCAACGTGACTCACGCTCAGCCTGAGCAGCCATCGAGGGACAGGCCTGGAGGAGCTGCCCTTCCCAGGCACATCTCCTGAGCTTCCTCTCTCCCTCTGCCCTTTCAGGAACAGAAGTTTTGCCAGCGCTATGACCAGCTGATGGAGGCCTGGGAAAAAAAAGTGGAGCGCATCGAAAATAACCCCCGGCGCCGTGCCAAAGAGAGCAAAGTGCGGGAATACTATGAGAAGCAATTCCCGGAGATCCGGAAGCAGCGGGAACTGCAAGAGCGCATGCAGAGGTTAGAGGAGAAGCGGTAGGAAGGGGCTGAGCTGGTATCGGACAGCCTTTCTCTTTTCTTTGGGGATGGATGGGTGTGGGATTTGTTCGCGGAAGGAGTGGGCCGGGATGGCTATCGGTCCCTTTTCTCCCCTTCTAGTCGAAGGCAGAAGCCAGCAGACAAGCAGCTTTGCTGCTTTTTGCCCAGGGTGGCTCAGCACAGAGCCAAGAGAGAAGGAAGAATGTCAGGAATGTGGTTGCACATCTCCCCTCTGCTGCTGATCTCCCAGCTGGCCGCGTCGGAGCAAGGGGAGCTCCCTTGTGCTGGCCACCTGGCCGGGCCGGCGCTCATTATTGCCTAGCTGGTGGGCCTAAATGAAGACACACAAGATTTGCAGATGGATTTGGTCGTGTCGACGATGTAATACATGTACACGCTTTGATCAGAGCATGGGCAGCGAGAATAAAGGTCTGCAGAGGTTATAGGAATGACCGCAGACGATATGAAAGGAGTAAAGCGTCTCACTGAAAGGGATGTCCCCTGTCTGTCCCATCCCCTGTCTGTTTTCTCCTCCTCGTTGGAAGCGCAATTGAGGTCATATTGTCTCCTGCCAGGAGGAGACAGGATTTCATGATCTGCACCCTACTTGCTGAAAACTCCCCGTCCTTCCCGTTTCAGTCCTGGGATCTCGCCCAGGGACACCTGATGTGTGCAGAACCCAAATCCTTGTGCCATCATCCCGTCCTTGTGTGGATGGGCCCAAACTTCCTAAACGGTGGCTTTATTTTATCTTAAAGAGAAGGGGAGAAATGGTACTGAGAAATGTTTTAAGGTTTTACGTGCTTAATAGGAACAGTTTTAATTCCTTGGGATGCATGACTGTTATGTTGGGTCGTAGTGGGCGGGGGAGGGGGGGAAGATGTTAATGGCTGGTTTTGATTTAAGAGTTCCTACAGCATTTGCAAACCAGATGTGGTGGCACAGTGCTAACGGCTCGGTGCTAACGCTGACGCCTTTGTGCCATTGCTGCGGTGCGATGAACAGGAGAAAATAATGGGGGGAGAGTATGGTTGGGTATGAAATGTCCTTCTGTTGTAGTGATCCAGGAGGTGGCTGTTGGCCCAGGTAAGGAAGGTTGGTTGAGGCTCTCAACCTGTGAGCCCTAAACCCAGGGGACACAGGGATGGTGCTCTCCGGGCAGGAGTAAGTGCTGTCAGAGCCCGGGGGGTTGCAGCGGGCACTGTTCCCGCAGCGTGGGATGGGGTGGCCTGGGTGGGGTGTTGGGATATGGCCATTATGGAGGGCAATAAGAAGGGCAACAGGCCCAGCGAGTTGTCATGAATGTGGTTTACAAAATGGAGCATCAGTGTCTGAGTGTTGCACTGCCCTTTCCCAGCAGGGTAGGACAGAGGGGCAGCGGCGGGCTCTCCATGTCGGCCGCGCGCAGCGAGCACGAGGTGTCAGAAATCATCGACGGGCTCTCAGAACAAGAGGTGAGACCGGGTTGTCCTTCCTCCTCCTCTTCACCCCTTGCTCCAGTCTTCTCTGAGGAAGCCAGGAGAGTACCACCAGGTCCCACGCCAGGCCCCATGGTGAAATCTAATACCAAATCCTACTAATTTCAGGCCACGCGGAGGGTGGGGAGGTTGCCATGATGCCTAATAGGCTTTCTGGACGGGATCCAAAGTGAGGTGTTCGTTTAATACCCAGCAGTGTCTTTCCAGCCACCCGAGAGATGCGACCGAGTTGTGCAATGGTTCTGCAGGAGCAGAACACGGAGCAAAGCACCTCAGGAGCTGGTGGCCAGTGGGTAGGGTTTATCGGCATTCAGCTGCCTCTTAGGGACCTGAAACCCCAGCACGCTGCTCATCCTGGGTAGCACCCTCCAAACACCTCCTGGCTGTTGGTTTAAACTGGAAGCGGAGGTGGGAAGGGAAGGGAATGGTGCCCTGGATGCCGGGTGGAGGGGTTTTTCTGTTTCGTTTTATTTTGAATGGGCTGTGCGGCTTGACACAGGGGAATCCTATGGAATGAATGGTTTGTACGTGAGCCAGTTGGCCCACATCTTCTGGGAGTGCTCCATTCATCTTGAAACATCGCCGTGACCTTGGCTTCGTTTGGATCTGGTTTCACAAGGGTTCCACTCTCTTGGCACGGAGGCGAGCTGCAGTGAATGGATCGCGTTTGGGAGGGGAGAGCAGCCATTGCCCAGCAATAGCTGAGATGTTTGCTGCCTCTGCACCACGGTTCGCTCCCTGCCCTGGGTCTCAGGCAGTTTGCTGTTAGCCGGTTAAGGCGATGACCCGGAGGACACGGATCTCGGAAGCGGAGGGAAATTTCACAGCTCTGCAGAGGTTATGGCCAAGGGGAGTGTTAGATGATTGCCTCCGACCTCCTGCACAGTGTGCTGCTAAACTCCACCCCAACAGCCTTCTGCTGAGCGCCAAGGCACCGCTTTGCTTGTCTCAGAGGAGACCTTAAGAGCTTCCAGCCCTTCCACAGGGTTGGAAGGAGCAGGGAGGTGAGAGCCGGGGAGCACGGCTGGCGGCAGGGGCCAGCTCTCCGCCCCAGCGCATTGCTGGAGAGGAGAGAGGTCTGGCTGCCCGCCGGCGGGGTGTATCTGCAGCGCTCGGCACCCCGAGACCCTGCCAGACGAAGGGAGAGGCCCTGCGCTCTCAGCTGCAGGCAGCGCTCCTGCCAGCTGCCTCTCTGCCTGCCACGGCTCTGCACAGGGGCTTCCTCGCTTCGG